AATACTAACGGGTAGAATGGGCAACGCTTGTCGTTAATTAAACATAATGTTTGTTACCTTCATGATTTCCATTGGGAAATAAGTTTCCAGAATGTGAAATATGGGAAGCTGAATCATTTGAACAATCGAGCAAAGAAAACCACCAATGCCAAAGAGTTTGCCAAAATGCTGCGAGGGAAACCTGTCGATAACAAGAACAGAAAATGGTAGCGTTCTTGTTCTTGTTGTTKTAATTGTAAATTATTATACAAATAATTATATTTGTTGTAAATGCGAATAAAATGCATGATCTAGGGTATACTTACGCGACAAGGAAAAGGTTCGAAAATCCTCCATTGTAAAAACAACGTAGAAGTGCTACCAAGAGGAATGACACAATCTGTGAYCATCAATAAAAACACGATAAATACGTCGATCATAAAAACGCCTTTAAAGTGCATTAATATAACAGTTGTGTAAAAAGATAAATTTAACACCGGTGTTAAATTTATCCTTTTTTTACACAACTGTTTCTTTAGAAACACCGACGCAGCTCACACTAGTTTACCGCTAGTTTCGACGATTTTGAACTGGATCTCGTATTTGTGAGGGGCAGGCTGTATTGGTAAATAAATAATAATAATAAATAATTGAAAGTCAGTCTAAAGAAATAGGAATGGGATTTCTTCGCTGTTTGCTGGCAACCTTTGTATCAAATCATCCAGTAATATTTAAGAGCTAAAAATGACCAAAAATGTAATTTCCCAAAGATATTTTCTTCACCGAATTGCTTTGCATGACAAAAGTAATTTTCTAAAAGACGTAATGAAGTTTAAATTCTCTCAAAATATCGCAGCTGACTTGTATTAATGCAAAATGATCTATTAATTTTGTTTGCAGAGGTGCTTAGCAGCTAAATTTTCTAAACGGCGTCGTGTGATGCACTTTATGCGTTTCAACTTCTAGTAGCCATAAGATGTTTTCCAGCAAAAAATTGGTGCGGCCAGGAATAATATAGTTGGTAGTTTGGAATTAGGAATTGAAGATTACTACCATACAACATGGCGTTAAAAAGACCCTTTTCTCACCTGTAATGGAACGTTTGGAATTATGGTTAACAAACTGACTAAGATCAACAARAGACCACTGCAGGCATAGTACACAGTACAACCACGAATCTCAGCAGCGCGGGCAGCGGTCACCGCGTCAATCTCAGCCACACTTTTACATTGACAAGATTGACTTGTTACCATGGTAATCTCTTGATGACGCATAGTAGAAGAACGTCTGGACATTTTGACAGCAATAGTTACCAATCCCCCAACTAAAGGGCACAAGGCTAGGCTACACAGCTGTATAACACCGTAAAAGTCTGCGTATTTTGTGACTGAAATGCAAGAAATCAGATGAGATGCATTCATGCACACACAGAGGGACAGATGGGGTATGCAATATTCTTGTTAATAAACCGCGCACAAATAACTGAGGAAGAGGCTCATGGGGAATAAGAGGATCATCTATTGTTTCCCCAGCGACTCGTCAACAGTTCTTCGTGGTAAGTTAGTCAACCAAAATAACGCTGGCTGTTGAACCTGATGCGAATGAATACAAAATAAATGATTGTTTTTCGGGGATTAGACCCTCGAAATTGACGTGATTACCACAGAAAATCAGTACTAGGAAGAGAAATAAAGTCATTTGGGATTGACGCACATGGTTTGCATCCTCTCTCTGCAACTCTCCCGTCATTGTCCCGTCTGATGTAAAATACTGAATTAGCATTACAGCATCAGCTGTCCTCTTAATACAAGTGAATTACTGATTAGTCTGATCCTTAATATAAAAATGACAGGAACGTTTATGAAATGAACAGCATAAAAATGTTTTCAGATCATGTTTTTTCGATAGTATACCTGTTTTCATGTCAGTATTCGGCAAAGYAAGAATATACTGTTGAAAGGTTGTCATAAAGAAAAATAAACGAAGCCGGCACATTCCAATAAACAAGCAGGTCACTACGAAGATCGAACTCTTCATCAACGCGATGATTTCTTTCAGATTTTTCAATCTCTTTGAAACTCCMTGGTGTTTTTCTTGGTCATGGTTTGTTTTTGAAGCAGGTTTCTCAGTTTGATCATGTTTGYCTTTTTGAATGTTTGGGAATATTACTACAGAGCTGAGCAAGAGAACCAACGAACTGTAAAGCTGAATCTGAAATAAAGTCTGATACGTAACGCCATGTTCGTATAGCACCTGTTGAAGAGATGGCAGTCAGTCCAAACGTGCGCGCCAA